TGAGGTGCTTGATTACAGCATTAACTGTGCTTAACTTGGAAGCCTTATTTATACCTCTAAAGCACATCTGGCAAAAACTGACCACCTTTCAGTGGACTATATATATCTTAATGCAGCTAGGTTTCTTTATCAAAGGTGCTTCTTATGGATTGAAATATGTTTTGACTGTGTGAAGTCCTATCCTTATACAAAGTTTCTTCTGTGTACATTTACACTTTTTTTTTTCTTTTAAAGTATTAGAAGCCAACAGTCTACTATAACTGAATCCTTGGGGGATACAGTATCTTTATTGAGGTGAAGTAAATTGGTGTTTTTCTTCTTTGTCTCTAAAATCATTGATGAAAACAATTATGCAGGCTTAAATGTGTTATAAATGTCATGTAAATAATATGTTTAAATATATCTCTGAGTCAGCAGGTATGATGGTATTTGCCTTAATACCAGCAATTGGTAGGCAGAGGCAAGCATATCTCTGAATATAGGGCTAGCCTGGTCTGCATAGTGAGTTCCAGGTCAGCCAGGTCCACATAGTAAGATCCTATCTAAAAGAAAAAATGTTTTAATCTCAGTTCTACCTAGTTCAACAGATAGTCAAGACCATGAAATGTCCCAAAATATGTACCTCTAGAGACTTTCTTTGGGGATATAGAGTTCTTTTTATGTGGTCGTTATTAAAGTAATGTGTAAGGAGCTCTTCAGCTTGAACTGTTACTCTGTCATAGAAACAAAGATGATGCTGGGGCAGGAAAGGACTAGAGATTATATTTTTGATGAGTGTCCATGCTCCAGTTATATAAAATTATTTGAAAAAATGTTTCTGATCTATAAATACTGTAAAAGACAATATAACATGTCCAGAGAACAAAAAGTCTGCATGAATTATTTCAGAAATAGAGCACTTGGGATGCTGAATGAGTATCTGGGAAGGGTGGGCTAACTTATTGTGGAAGAGATTGTTTGGAAAAGATCAATGGTAGTAATCCATGATGTTACATGGTTTGTCTGTAGAAACATGAAAAAGGTATATGTGGGAGAGGCGGACAGGGTCTCGCTGTGTAGCCCTGGCTGACCTGGAACTTGTTATGTAGACCAGGTTCATTTTGAACTTGCAGTGATCCTTCTGCCTCAGCCTCTGAGTACACTACCATGTCTGTCTTGAAATAATTCTTAATCATACTTCTTAGATGTAGGAAAGATGTGTGAATGGTGGGAAGTGCGTGGAAGGAAAGTGGTTGGCAGTGAAGAATGACAGAAGGTGGTATTTCAGTAGCAGTTCCTGAAGGGCTGCAGTTTATGTGGAAGTAGGAGCCTGAAAGTGGCATTTATTAGGAAGTGAAAGCTGTTGGGGCTGGTGATGTAGGTCAGTGGTAGAGTCCTTTCTTAGTATATGTGAGGCCTTGTGTTCAATCCCTGCACTGTAAAAATAAAATGTATGAAGACCTATCTCTGGGACACTGTGGTTTGTGGAGGATAAAAGATTAAGCTGTTCTCTATTTGCAAAGGTCACAAAGGCGAACATTGTCCCAAGGTGGGACTGAAGGAAAGTAGGACTAGATTTTTAGACCAAAGTACAGAAGTACAGGAGCTATTGAGGAGTTTGAGAATAACGTTCTAGAGAACAATGAAATGTTTTGAGAAGGAAGAAAGGTAAGAAAAGATATTCTAGTTTCCAGAGTATTTTTAAGGATAAAAATAGAGCTGAAAGAATCTACATTTTAGGTGAGGGTAACATACCTCCCTAACTTTAGGCAAACTACTTTACAGGTCCTAATTTGCTTCTTTATTAAATTAGGATATTGCCAATTTTGTAGGGTTATTGAAAAATTATACCACACCCAGTATGCTCTAAGGAAGGAACTGAGTATCTACCATTAAAGGAATTTCGAAATTCCTCCCTTGGAAAATAAATTTAGAAGCCATAGGAGAAAATGAAATTAATGCTTCATAGTTTAAGGAATGTTTTTGTTTGTTTTTCTTGCTGTATTGGAAGGCTAGTAGAGTCTTGATTTCTGAGTAGATGAACTGGAGAAAAGAGATGGAAGAGGGAAGTCTGATGGTAAAAATATTAAAGATAACAGGGGACACTAAGAGAGTAGCAGGGTGTAGCAAGCGGAATGGAAGGCTCTGCAGCAGCAATCAGAACGTCCATGTTCCTATACTTCTGCTAGTCTGTTTGAAATCAGTCACAGGCTTTCATGTTTTGTCTAGGTGTCACCAGAATCTCTTCTCTAAGTTGAAAAATGGAAGCAGGCAACAAGACCTTAGTGAGAAAGAGGGGAGAGTGGGAAGCCTTCAAAGTGAGTATTACTACAGTTTCAGAAGTAGAGGGATTGGGCCTCAGAAATGATGGAAGTCTTCACCTTAACATCACATCACATGTATACCTTAGAAGACCAAAAGACAGATTTAGAAAGTTAGCTATTTTTGATGGCCTCATTCTTTTGCTATAAGAGTGACACTTTTTCTGCCTTAACTATTATATTCAGCAACTTCAGATACTTCTCTTAGAGATGAATGCACTTAAATTTCACTATTCACAATGGTTATTTCCTTTAAAGTCTCTTGAGAATGTTGAATAAATAACCACTTAATCATTACTTCCAGAGTTAGGTTATGTTTCTTTGATCATCAGTAACATTTTTAATCAGCTAATCGGTACATAATCTTGTTTTATATTTGTTTCTCCTTAAGACACTTTTCGTGTTGACTCGGTATTGAGTTATTGCCAACAGTTCTATAGTGCATGCCTGAGCAAATTTATGCAACACATGTATTTTCTCCATAATGTATACCACAACCTTGTGCTGAGGAACCCTCATAGGACTTGAGTGTTAACGTTGTGAGTTTTTTAAATAGCAAAATCACTAATAAAAAGCACACAAACAGGAGCTGGAGAGATGGCTCAGTATGTAAGAGCAAGCATGAGGATTTGAGTTCAGATCCCAGCACCCACATGAAAAAACAGATGTTAACCACATGAGCTTGTGACTCCAATGCTGTCTCAAAAAAAAAAAAAAAAAAAAAAAAAAATGAGCCAGGGTGGTGCATGCCTTTAGTCCCAGCACTCGGGAGGCAAAAGCAGGCAGACCTCTGTGAGTTCAAGGCCAGCCTGGTCTACATAGTGAGCTCTAAGCAAGCTGGGCTACAGGGAGAGCCTGCCTCAAAAAGACAAAAAAAAACAAACAAACAAAAAAAAAAACTGACGTGCTAGTTAGGTTAAGGAGAAAGAAAAAAAAATCACTATATTCCTTGTACACAGAAACCCCCTCTACCGGCATTTTCAAAATTATGGTCAATATTTGAGTTTAAAGGTTTTTTGTTTTGTTTTTAAATATATAGCCACATTTAATTCTCAAATCAGCTTTATGTGCTCAGTATTTTTTTTAAATCATTGTTTTACAAATGTGGAAGCAGAGACAAAAAGATATTAAATAAAATGCCCTTGATTACATAATACTTGAGCAGAGCCAAAACCAGAGTTCAGAATCATAACATTCTGACTCAAGAACCAAAGTCTTTAATTGCTAAGATAGTACTGGCTCAGCAGGAGAATGAGTATGTTTAAAGCAACTAAAAACTAGAAAAATGTAACACCTTTAACATGTATAACCTTAAGATATATTTTTAACTAAATCTGTAATAATTCAATGAATTTATGATAAATTGTTTCACAAGAAATATATTATTACCTATATGATCTCCCCAAACTTAAAGGAAATACTGAGCTCAATGGTAAAGGTGCTTGCCACCAAGCCTGAGAATCTGAGTTCCAACGTCCCTGGAACCCACATTGTAGAAGGAGAGAACCAACTCTTATAAGTTGTCCTCCCACACCTAAATGACTATAAATTTTAAGTTTGGATAAAGACTATCCAAAAATACTTTGAAAATTGTGAGTATAAATTTAAGCTTTAGACCATTAGATCTTTAGCAAAAATCTCTCCCCCAAAACCAATCTACCATTTTTTTAGTTACCTGTTTTTGTTTTGTTTCATTTGCAGCAGAGTCTAGCTGCGTCATCTAGGCTGTCTAAGACTTGTGATTCTCTTACTCAGCCTCCTGAGTGCTGGGATGATGTGTGCCACCATGCCTAGTTCTTAACGTTTTATGTAATCAAGGCTAGTAGCAATGATTTCTTGATGGAGTGCCTATGACAGTTCAACTTTATTTAAATTGATTTATTCTTCATGAATTTTTTTTTTTTTTTAACCAAGATTCCCTTTTCTTTAGCTCTTCGTTTTATCTCCTGTTTTGTCTGGATTTTTTTTTAAGGTCTATAATTTTAAATTCTCTCATGCTGAAGAATACTGTCCTTGTTGTCTTTAAATTTTTTGTCTAAATACAATCCGTGGAAAGACTTTTGGTCATGGTTTTGCAAACATTGATTTCTAGGGAGAAGTCTGACATTACCCAGGCTTTTCCTGTTTTTGACCATGTTTTCTTAGGATGTGTATTTAATGTCAGAAATCCTTCCTTAATTACTGCTTCAGTTTTTGATTTCCATTTCATAAAATAATTTTTTCACTTCTTTTGAGGCTTTCCTGGAATTATGAACTATTTTGAAGCTGCTTATTTCCAAATAATTCAACAAAATTCCAGATATTGTCTTGTCTGACTTAGTTTGTAGACTTATTGAGACCTAGCTGGTCTTGAAGTAATCCTCCTGCCTTGGCCTCCCAAGTGCCAGGATTACAGGTATACATTCAGATACAAAATTTTAGTTTTTTAAAAGCTTTTTAAAGAAAATGTTTGTGTGTTCATGTGCATGCCAGGGTCAGGAAACAGCTCTGGTTCTCTTTCCACCATAGGTTCATGGAATCAAACTTAGATTATCAGGCTTGCACAGCAGACACTTTTGTCCACAGCCATTTGGCCAGCCCCTTAAAAGATATTTTTTATGGCTCATCTTACCTTTGGTCTGTGGTGGTGGTTGGTATGTACCTGAAAAGTATGTGTATTCTGCTATTCCTGAACGGAGTGTTTTAAAGTTGTCACTTAGGTCAAGTTACTAATAGTGATGTTCTGGTCTTCTAGTTCCTTCCCATTTCCTACCCATATGGTCTAAGAGTTGCTAAGAGAGAAGTATTAAAATCTCTAGCTGTAATTGTTACCTTTCCTTTTTTTTTTTTTTTTCATTCTTCTAGCACCTCTTTAAACAATTCTTCCAATATTAAGATTTCTGTTTGTAGCTGCTGAGGTTTCCATTTACTGACTGGAGTTGAATCAGTATACATCTCAAGTTTCCATATATGCTTAGGTCTCCATGCATTCTTGTAACAATACTACTATGGTTTTGTAATAACTGCATGGTACAAGTACACTTGTGTTGATTCCTCTGTTTCAAGTCCCATAGGCAGTGCAGTGGACCAAGGTGAATGCTTTCAAGGCAGACAAGTTTGATTTCAGCTCAGGGCCTGGTACCTAATTCTTTTTGGAAAAGCTATAAGCCATTGAAGCAAACCACAAACAAGCCAGTACACTCCCCCAGAAGGAGCAGGTCCATGGTGGTCATTCTGTGACTTACTGATTTAGTTGCCTATCTGACTAGATTTGAGAACTTACAGGGTATCAGAAGACGGATGAGCCTTTTATATTCAGCAAAAACTACAGAGACTCTGGTGGGTTGTTTCTCCTAACATCCAAATTTTTAGGAGATTTTTGTAAAGTTATACAAAGAACTTGATTGTTTATTTGAAATTGTGTTGCAACAATAGATCATTGGGGTAAGAACTGACAATTATGTTTCACTATGAATAAAGTTTATTTCTTTAACGTGTAACATTTGATTATAAGTGTGTTTTTAAACTTATGTACATAATTTAAATCACTTGTTAGAATTATTCCTAATAGTTATTTTTATTGCTAATATTAATAGTCTTTCCATGGTTCTATTTAAATATTGTAGCCATTTGCTGTTAGTGTATAGAAATCTTACTGCTTTTGTTGTCTTTCTTTTGAGACAGAAATTCTGTGTAGACCAGGGTAACCCTGAATTAGACTCTCCTGCCTTACTTCCTGATGCTGTTGATTATAGATTTGAGCCACCATGCCCTGCTTCCTTTTGTTTATTGTATATTGATCTTACGTCTAACCATCTTGCTATCACTTTTCACTTATTTGTAGATTCTTTAAAGTTAGTATCTAACAGTTATCTTTCAATAACTGCAGTTGTTTCTTATCAGTTAGAGATACATATTTACTTCTTACTAAATTGAGTAGAAGAAAGAATAAGGAAAGGGCTATTCTTACATTAGACCAAGTATCCCTAGGCATCATCATGAGAAAAGTTGAGTGATGAGTACGTTTCCTTCTTTAAGCAGATGATGACGTAAGGCTCGGGAAGGTAAGATGACACTTCTCCGAGTGTCAGCTCTAATCCTTGGATAGTGCTTCCAGATTTGAAAGAAAAAAGATAAACATTTAGCGTTCTTTTTCTTAGAATAGCTAAAAGTAAATAGGAATTTTATAGTAACCTTTGGAAATTCCACTTTTCCCTTTAATGTAAAGCAGTGTCTAATGATAGTGTTTTTATTTCTAGGTACAGTAATGATAAAAGGAAACAGAAGAAACACTAATAGCAACAGATTATATATTTCAGAGAATCCACCACACAGTAATGAAAAGCAGAGACAGAGGAAAAAGAAGGTATTTTTACTATTTTTAGATAACAGTTATGAACATTAAATTTTCAGTCTGATTATATTCAACTTTCCCCAGTAGATCCAACTTAAGTAAGATTGTTACGCACTTAAAAATCACACAGACACAAATAAAAAAAGAATACCATTTGATCATACATTTCATTAAGGCAGGTCAACTTTGTGGTTGCAGTTCACTTGTTCCCTTCACTTGGTGTGGTCTTGGTTCCAGTCTTGCAGTATCTGAAACTATTGATGTAGTTTATCTAGTTTTCTAACTCTACAGCAGGGAAGTACATCTCATCCTTTTACTCTACTGTGGCTGTGTTTTCTCACACAATTTAAGATTTTGTTTTGTTTTCTAACCTATTTGCACATGGATCATTACAGGGGCAAGAGCCTCAAGAACTACAGGCCACTAGGAATATTTCCTGTGACTCACACTTATTTTTTGCCTAGATTTCTACCCTAATAACATAACAATCAACCCCTGTTTTGATTTGCTTCTTGCACATCACCATGTTGAAGAATGAACCTTGCACATTCTAGGCAGTGCTCTTTTTTTAATTTTGTTATGCTTATTACATATGACCACTTTTTAAAAAATAATTTATTATTTTTTTTCCATGTGTATGAGTGTATTACCTGTATGTGTGCAAGTGCACCTGTGTTGTGCAATGCTCACAGAGGTCAGAAGAAGGTATCAGATCCTCTTGAACTGGAGTTATGGTCGGTTGTTAGCCTCTGTGTGGGTTCTGGGAATCAAATGTGGGTTCTCTATAAAAACAGCCTGTGCTCTTAATTGCTGAGCCATCTCTCCAGGCCCCATAAGACCACTTTTAGTGCAGGTACATATACTGTCCTATATATAGGCCTCATTTCTTAAAGAACCTTTGTCCTGGGCTGTGACCATCAAAAGTGCTTCTGTCTACTTACCACTAGCCCTTAGGTAAGACAGGAAGTGTACAGGGTCTTGTAACCTTTACTTTTTTTGAGAACAGGCTTCTCTTAATGAGAACAGAATACTCTAGAAGTTTTAAAATTGTATTTCAAAAGACTGCTTTCCTCTCCTCCTGCCAGAATAGCAATGGATTTTTATTTTTTTTAATTATTTATTTAATAACCACATGATTAGAAGAAGCATTTCATTACAGCATTAACATATTCAATAGCAATTTCCAGAGCAAAGATGCATCTCTTTCAAAATTGGTTGTGCAGTTTTAGGTTCACAGTTGAATTAATACCATTATAAAATTTTGAACTCAGTATAAACCCTCTAAGACATAAAATTGAATGAGGTTTTAACCTTTAAGAAAGATCTCCATTTCATTTGAAGATATACTGTTTCATATAGAAAAACTCATTT